GAGGCCTGCCATGTTAATTATTAATAATTCATAAAACCAATATAGCCAAAAGAAAAACCTGCAATAGACAGATTTAGCTCTCATATAAAGCATCTTTAATATTGACCAATAAAATATTTACCCATACATAAATACAAGAATGACTGGTCAGGTTTCTAATAACTTTATAGTAAGTATATACATTCATAACAAATCTATTAGTCAATATACAATCCCGTCTTCATTAATCCAATTACATCATACCAAATAATACATAAATCATTAACAAATAATATTAAATGCAATGGGGTTCAACGTCTAGCTTTTATGCCCCAGTCGGGCAAATGCCGACGTGCCTACTACGAGGGAAATTATGCCTGGGCTGCATCGCTACGACCTACTCATATTTCGAATTCCAAATGGCAAGGGATCTTTCAGGTGCAGTACCAATTTGTACACGGGACGACTACAACTGTTTCCTTGCCAGGCGCTACTGACAATGGGAATCTAAGTTGGAATATCTAACTATGATCGAACCCGGGAAATATTAACAGATAAAAAGTAATCGATGGAACTTGCAAACACGACTGGATATAATTTTCAGGGTACCTAGGTACCAACGTGAAAAGTTGCTCGCCGGAATTTAGTACTCATGGTACCTTTGGTTCTAGCGTAGCGCATGCGCGAAGTCAAATCCAGCTAAACTCGAAAACAACCTTGTCGGCACGGAAAACATCAAAGGAGAAATTCGAATTTTTTAAATATTCAAATACCAAACGTTCGACCATGATCCAGGCTATCCTGAAATGTATTAATTTCGGTAATAGGAGACATATTCTCTAGGTCACGACCAATTGTATATGTTTTCAAGCCCATAAATGTGGATTTTTCACTAATTGTCATTTTCAATTCAAAATGGCGTCCATCATTTGCCGGAAATCAAAATTGTGTTATTTACCGTTTTTTGGCTTTCCTTCAAGGATTCGGAAAATATAATTGCCTTGTCTGTAAGTAAAATATCAAAAAAGCCTTATGTAATTTTCACATTTCAAGATGGTGGCATTTCCGGTTTGAGCTACAAACTCAATTTTTTGTGTACGAATCAGTAGTGTCGTAGCTAGTAAAGAAAAAAAAATTAAGGCAATCTGACCTATATTTCGTCGATTTTTTTGAAAACTTTGATCCTTAATTTCATCAAGGGGATATAATTTAGAAAATTTCTAATGATATTTTTAAAGTCGCATTGATAAGATCTACTTACATTCTAAATTTCATGAAAATCGTGCAACTATTAAAGAAGTTGTCAAATTGATCTCAACTTCCGGTTCAAAATCACAGCGACGAATTTTCGAAATTCGAAAATTCGAAATTGCAGATTTTAAGTAAATGTTTCAAGGCACCCCTCAAAAAAAGAATTAGTAAAATAGGTCAAATAGTTACAAAGTTACAGTAATGTAGGTCAAATGAATTTGTTCGTAAAATTCGGTGATTTCGGATTCGAAAAACGATTTGAAAATATATTTAATCAACATTCGCACCCCATTTTTGGGGGGGTAGGTCAAAGTTTCAGATTGATCCTATGGTTAGATTCTGAGAAATCCGATTTGTAGAAATTACACAAAAAAAAAAATAATAATAGGAACAAGGGGGTCGGGTCAGGGGGTTCTCCCGCTAAGAAATTTTAATTGGAGGCCGAAAACGTGATTTCATGGCATTTCAGGCACTTGTGTCGGAGCCATTTAGAAGTACCTCCCCCAGAAAAATAAAATTCTGCCACAAAATTAGCCACAATCCATGCGGGTGCTGTGAAATTTCTAGAGGAGGGAGCTGGAACCCATGAGCCCGTTAAATTCGCCACTGTAAATGAGCAGAGCTACATCAAACCTAATTTTGAGTCCCTCAGTGATAAATAACTTGATTCAAAATCGTATTATAGCCCCAACGACGATTTGATGAATGGAGACCGTAACGTTACGACAAAGTCTAACACTGTAAGTACCAAATAGTCATACGAGATATGTGCATCTCATCAAATTCAGCTGATACCATACCTACAATAATGTTACGGAGTCAGTGAGTTCAAGTTAGACAATACGCTGACCTTCCACTGACCATGCTTATAATATAAAATCTGTCAATGACAGCTGATTCATTGTTTAGTTTTTTATATGATATATTTAATATCAATAATATATGTATATGCATGCTTTATTTTACTTTACACGACCTCTAAAAATGCCCCAAATCGTAAAAATACGACTTTTTGGATTTCGATCTCCTTTTTTCGGCTACCCCGGACATTGTCAAAAAATGATACAATGATTTCACACAACAGGCCAGCTATTAGCCTCTCGATTGACAAGAGTTTCATCGCCCTCCATTCATTATAACCAATGTCATCGTGCCCTAAAGAATCAACAAATCAGCTTGCTTATCTCTGCTTACCCTAGGCAAAAAATGCTCATCTTTGAACTCAATCATGACATTGACCTAGTGAACGCCTACACCAAGTTTGAACATTCTAGCTTAATTAGAAGGAGAGTTCTTGTGTTCCAAAGTCCCGGCCCTTCAAATTGCTTCTATTTTTCATTTTCAATTCAAAATGGTGACCATCACGTGACCGAAATCAAAATTCTGATCCGATAGATTTTTAGGCATTCCTTCCAGGATTCCGAAAATATGACGCCCGAGTCTGTAAGTAAAATAGCAAAAAAGCCTTTTTGATTTTTCACGTTTAAAGATGGTGGCACTTCCGGTTTGATCGACAAACTCCATATTTTGAAAACTTTGATCCTTTATTTCACCAAGGGGAGATAATTTAGAAAATTTCCAAGGACATCATTGAAGTCGCATTGGCAAGATCTACTAACATTCTAAATTTCACGAAAATCGCACAACTATTAAAGAAGTTGTCAAATTGGCAATAACTTCCGGTTCGAAATGACAGCGACGAATTTTCGAAATGCCAAAATCCGAAATTGCAGATTTGAAGTAAATGTTTCAAGATACTCAAAGAAAAAAAGAATTAGTAAAATAGGTCAAATAGTCGCAAAGTTACAGCATTGTAGGTCAAATGCATTCCTTCGTAAAATTCGGTGATTTCGGATTCGTAAAACGTTTTGAAAATATATTTAATCAACAGCCACCACCCATTTTTGGGGGGATAGGTAAAAGTTTCAGAACGATCCTATGGTTAGATTCTGAGAAATCCGATTTGTGGACAAAACACACAAAAAAATAACAATAATAATCTTAACAGAAACAATAAGCTTTCATATGTAATATGAAAGCTTAAATATACATATATTGCTACACAATAATATGGGATATCAAATATCAAATATACATAAACCATTACACAATTATATCGAACATTAAATGTAATTGGGTTTAACGTCTTGCACTTTCTGCACCAGTCGGGTTGGGCTAATGACGACGGTTTACACCATGCAATTTACTACCAGGGAAATATTGCCTGCGCTACAGCGCTACGACCTACTCTTATTTCGAATTCCAACTGACAGGGGATCTTTTACGTGCAGTACCAATTTGTAAACGGGATGACCTGACATGTGTCTTTGCCAGGCACTACTGACAATGGGAATCTAGGTTGGAATATAGAACTAGGATCGAACCCGGGAAATATTTACAGATAAAAAAGTAATCGACAGAACTTGCGAACACGACTGGATATAATTTGTCACCAACAGAAACATTACTGCAAATCGAGTAGTCTTCCCAGGGAAAAAGGTACCCTTCCTGATTCTTGTGTGTTGTATGTACACTCATTCATTAAACGTTATCAGTAGGTACGGTATATGAGGGAACTTTTCCATTCCACATAACTAGAATACTACCTGTCCGAATTCCACAATTCTTGTATGGGGTAGGGTATGCGTTACCTTTCTAAAATATAAAATACCATTTTGCATTTAAGGAGTTGACAATTCGCAAGTGATCATTTCAGGCATCCATGAATCTATGTTACGGATCAACCATATCAAAAGTTTATTTCAAAATCTTAAATCTATTTATTTGGAATCTATTTAACCTCTATCACAAATGTAGACTCTATAACCCGAGGTCACGAATCAACCATTTCAAAGATTTTTATTTTTTAATATTATATATGGTATTTAGTCACATATCTAACATTTGAGCATGGTCGTCGGTATTGTGCAAAATACAATCACAGCTGGTCATCATTGTGTGAATTCCACCTAGATAGCAAACGAATAGGTTCGGCCAGGACACGAGAGCGGAGGCGCCTTGTCACGGGACGAGACGGAACGATGGAGAGCGCCTGAGAGTTGGCACATTTCAGCCAAGCTAGGGCATGACTCCCTCAATACAAGTTAGTTCTGGGTGTCTTTAACATTGCGATGTTTGTAACTGATACGTAAGAAGCAGAAGAATAAAAGTATTATAAGATGTTAAACTAGTCTTGTCACTGAACTTGATATAAAGACCCAATACTGTAACAGTGGTCTTATACTCTATCATACTCCCGGTTACAGTTAGCAGTACCACTACTGCGTCGAGCGACAGGCTGTACGAATGTTCTGTCAACTGTCCCATTTCTGTTCCTCTAGTTAACAAGAATTTGCTCTGAGCAATGACGTCAAATGCCAGGAGATTAAACTCAAATTTTCAAAATATTCTCGCGGTGTATGTGGGGCGGGGGTGGGGCATATCCCTCTCCAGGTTTTTCGCTATATTTACGTGCATAAAAGTGTCTAACTATATAGACAATGCGATCTATGTTGATATTTATTGTGAAGGGGGATTGTGGATGGCGCCCTAGATTTGGAACCGCCCCCTCCCTTTCCATAGCTTTTAGATCCGCTATTGTTCCAATCATCCATGAATCGAGGTAGGGGTCGATCATAAAAATATATTTATTTCAAAATTATATATATAATTTAATCAATATATATATATATATATATATATATATATATATATATATATATATATATATTTAATCAATTTTACCACACAAGTAAAATCTATGAATCGAGTTTATGGATCAACCTAATGTTCAGTATTTTAAAATTATATATGGTATTTGTTTAATCTCTTCTGTCAAATATGTAAAATTTATGGATGCTGGTATTGTCGTACATGCAAGTACATCGGGCCAGGCTTTGAATTCGCTTATATAGGTTTATATTTCTATTAGCAGAAATACGTCCCTATTCATTTAAACAACCCTAATTTACTCCGCTATTTAGAGGATAATTACTCTGTGTTAGTAATAAAACTATATGTAACTAAAATGTGCAACTGTAAATAAGACATTGTCAGTTGAAAATGTTCAATATAACAATATTTAATGATGTAATAGAAAATAAAACGACCCAAAAGCAGGATAAGCAGACATTTCTTACTATTTCCGACACAGTTATGCTTGTCCAGCATATACAGCACTGTGGGTCACCTCCCATTAGTTTTTTTTAATACCATTGTAGTGCGTCTGCAATCATATTTGTTTAGATTAAGTCAAGTATTAATTAAATGTCAATCGACCTGCCTAGTCATCATCATAAGTATAATCATCATCGTCTTCATCATCATCATCATCGTCTTCATCATCATCATCATCATCATCATCTAATTTGGTTACTCTAACAGTTGCTTTAATTATGAAGTTGTAATTTTGGTCCAGGTAACCATTTTGTTCATCTTTAAGCTTGTCCCAGTCTATAAACGAATGGAATCCATAACCTTGCATTCCTGTGTAAGTATGGTTGCCGTTAAGCATTACTGTCTTAGCACGAGTTGTATTTATCAATGTGAGCGCAAATTGTACTGAATAGTTTTTGTTGTGTAGGTTTCTCAGAAACAAATAAACTCCTAAAGTTGAATTATTGTCCTTGCTTAATTTTCTTATACCTAAATACCACGACTGTCCGCTGATGTGGTAATCAGTACCATAAACATATCCACTATTCGTGAGTTCCAGTTCAGTCAAGTTAAAACATCTCGTAAATGTTGACTCATCTAGAATATCCACCACTCCTAGATGTTTTAATAAAATGGTTTTATCAATAACTCCTTTTTCAAAATGCGCGTGTTTTACATCCGGAATATCCAATTGTCTCAAACTACTTTTTACTTTTTCATCTTGAGCTTGCGGTATTTTGTCGATAACCTTGACAATCGATTTATCGTCTAAAACAGCTATTGAACATGTTACACTGGTGTTTAAATCACCAATTGATGCTTTCATTTCTCCAAGAATATGCAGCAGCTTTTGGGTTTCTTCAGCACGGGATTTTTCAATCTGACCTTTGATCTCCTCACTAAGTTCTTTAATTTCGCAATAGATTTGTTCAACTTGTTTATCGACAGTTTCACAAGATGTTTTAGCCGAGTTGTTAATATCTGCTATAACCTTTTCTATAGATTCGCAATATTTTTCAAATTCACTTATGCGATCCCCTAAACCGTCTTTTAAACTTCTCAATTCTTCTCTGAATTGATCTACAATGCCCCTATCCTTCAAATCAATGAATTTGTGTGAACTATGGCTGGTTATAAAACAATCAGAACAAACAGCTATTGAACAATCTTTACAATAACATCTGGCTTTTCTCTTGTGGTGATTTGGACAAACATCCTTAGAATGTGGATCTGCGCTTTGATTCATAGTAAGATCATCTATATTTTCGACAACATGATCTCGACTTCCTTTAAAAGAATCGTGTGTTTCTTTACAAGAAATACACAATTTTTGTTGACAGTCCTGACACCTAACCTTAGCATTAACACCAGTTGTACATACATCACATGGTGGGATTTGATTTATACATACTGACATCCCTCCTACATCTGAAGTAGCAGGGAATCCACCTGCACCATCTTCAGGTACCTTCACATATTGACGGCACAATGGACATGGAAACCGATTGTTAGTCGAGGTCTTGCTGATATAATCTTCTAGACATGTCAAACAGAAAAAATGTTGACAGTCGATTAATTTTGGTTGTTTAAAATCGTTTAAACAAATACTACAGATTATTTTGTCTATTCTTTCTGCCATTTTGATACGATATTCTTCGCGGAAACACACAATACGATTTTATACAATATAATTCACTATATTCCCCTGGTACAGTACTCTGTAATGCAGAGAATAGCATAATGTTCAGTGCACTACATACATGTATATAGTTCAACGTTATTCCTCAAGTACAGTGTATTGTCACATGTAATAATCCAAGTAGTTTACTGATATTCACACAGCGGAATAGTGAATACCATTCACTATACAATGAACAACCGTGAACGTTGCCCTTTATGCCTTAAGTTATAAACCATACTTTTAAGAAAGCATTTATATAAACGAAACGCCCATATTCTCGGTAATGATTATGTGCAAGAAAAATAATCTAGGTTATTCTTTCGGCCATTTTGATACGATATACCTCACTGTAACACCCAATACGATTTTTGACAATATAGGTCACTATTCTTCCCCTGGTACAGTACTCTGTAATGCAGAGAATAGCACAGTGTTCAGTGCATTACATTCATGTATATAGTTATTCCTTGTGTACAGTATCCAGTTTTCCTAGTAGTTTTCTGTTATTTCCACTTTTAAATACTATATAATGCACACTTGATCAACTGAGTACATACGGCCCTTTTATGCCTTAAATTTTAATACATACTTCTGAGAAATCATTCATATAAATGAAACGCCCTTATTCTCGGTAATGCTTAAGTTCAAGGAAAATATACTAGGTTATCCAGGCAGTCGTTAAATAGTTAAGAGGGCTACCATTACTGTATTGAATTACGGTAATGCATTATTGTGTTATGCAAATATTTCACAAGATAACCTATTTAGCGCATTATAATATAGTAAAAGAATATCTAGGTTATTATCATATAGTAAATGGTCATCTAGATTAGGTTATTGTCTTATATTAAGCGAATATCTAGATTGAATTCAGTAGCGGATCTATATAGAATCTGTGAATATTGGGGGTGCGGGGTGGCGAGGCGGTTCCAAACGTATGGCGCCATCCGAAATCTAACATAACTTAGGCATTTTAGTATTATGAAAAGCTATATATAAACATATTATAAACATCCAATTTAGTGTATACTTATCCACTAAATAAACATTTAGACAATTTAACAGAACTCTTTTAATATAAATATCTGTATGAAAATAAGAGCAAAATCCGTAATGCCCGGCCTTTGCGTTGGCTACGAATCGCCCCAAAAAGTGGCGAATCGAAATTCGTGGCGATTCGGCAAAAAATCCAAAAAGATTGTAGAGAATCTGGATCAGCCACGCAGCAGTTACGAATGCTTTACGAAAGAGTTACGATAAACCCTTGTTAATCGGGTGGAAAATATGCCGAATGGCAAGGTAGGGTTGTACGAAATGAAGCAGTGACAAATAGTTTACGAAAGAGTTACGATAATTCGTTGGTAATCTGGTGAAAAATATGCCGGATGCCAAGTTAGGGTTGTACGAAATGAAAGATTCATCTATACGAATTGAAGCGATTCAGGACGAATGAGTTGCGTATATACCGAATTGCCTACAAACTTACCGAATTCAGTTACGAATACACTGAGGTCTCCACGAATGATGCAGATAAAGCTACGAAAAGTTTACGATATTTGGCACTTTTCATCTAAGAATCGAATAGAAATCGTTTTGACAAACAAAACCTTTCATGGCCGAACTATGAACAATACGAATGTGTAAGAACCAAATAAGAATCACTCTTACGAACTTTATCAACGAATCGGAAAAAAAGTTTGGATTCGCCGCGATTCGTGGCATTCGCAGCCCACGTGAAAACTGGGCATAAACCTGATCTACTTGATTTGACATTCATTTATTAAACCCGTATTATGTTAATACTATTTGAGCGGTGGACCTACAATTCGTCAAACAGTCATGTGACATATTAATGATATAGGTACCCTACGTTTTGAATTATTCCACTTTAAATAGTGTACGGGTCTCTTTCTGGGCCAGCTGATAAAAGGGTGCAATTCAAATGGACATTGATGCTAAAAGTAAAATTTGAATAATATAAATTATATTTGCTATCTGGGCATTTATATAGATATAGAAAAAGCGGTCCTTGTGATAATCTGAATTAAATTGAGTTACAATTGAGTTGCCTTTCCTCTAGAAATCCCATTGTTATATATTCGGACTAAAGCATATTCAAACTAATTTATCTATCAAACGTTTTAAGTAACAGCTACAAGCTGTAAAAGGGTGGCGGTATTATTAACTTGTATTTGTCGTTGCACGCTGTCCATTTACAATTGGGGATCACGTGGCTAATGGGTAAGACGCTAGCTCGCTAGCCTGGAGGTCGGGTGTTCGATCCCTGCATTGACCGAGAAAGTTCATTCAGATTTTCCGGCGTGGTTCTCCATTGTCAGTGATACAGGACGGAGGGGCTGACAAGGAAAGCTGTCTAGTCGTTCGGATGGGACGAAAAACCGAGGTCCCGTGTACACATTGGCGTGCACGTAAAAGATCCCTTGGCAGTTGGAATTCGATATAAGAGTAGGCCGTAGTGCCGCTGTCCGGGCAAAATTTCCCTCATAGCACACTGTATGGCGTATGCCCGTCTTCATTAGCCCAGGTTAGGAGCAGAACAGTAGGACGTTAAACCCCATTTCATTTCATTTCCATTTACAATTAATATCCCCTGTTAACGTCTTTTTTCGCCGTTCAATAGCAGAATGTGTTCTACATGTAGGGCTACCTATGTTCTCACAACCGCTATCCAGTCAATCGAACCAACCCACCGACAGACTGATTAAGATTCTGATAATCATTGAAATGTACTAAAATAAAAGATCTACCAGCTCACAATTTTCCACAAGCGCGCACCCCATCTGGAGTTTTTCAGGAAACAATATTTTTCTTGTAAGGTTGTGTGCCTCTTCTTTACATGTTTTTCAATACTTTTATTGGAAATGACTCTCCTATAAATATTTTTATAGGAATGCATCTATAAACAACGGGTTAACATTTTCAATTATTTGTATACTTCGATTGGCGTGATAATAAAATCTACTGTTGTGAAGATTTACATTCTTTAGTCTGAACTTTATATGGGTCTCAGATCTTAGCTCTTCGTTTTTCTTTACATCAATCTCAGCAAAAGTAAAACGATGAAGACCCAAGACTTCAGTGATATAATCTGTATGTCAACAGTCTTTTCATCGAACCATGTCCGCAAATCAAGATGCAAAAAAGTGTGTGTGAAATAGCTTTGATTTACGTCAATTGTAAGGGGACGCTCCTGGGGTTCCCACAACGGACGGACGATATAACAAGGTACCTCCGTGTACATTGTGGCGTGGGGGATCACGTGGCTAAGTGGGTAAGACGCTGGCTAAGTGGGATAATTTAAAATATAAATTCAAATCTACTGCAAGGTCATATTCAAAACATGTTAAAAAGAAAGAAAGAGAGATTTATTGGGATATACAAAGAAAATTAAGTAACGAATACGCAAGAATTGAAAGAACAAATAGTAAAGAGCTAGCTAGAATTATAGAATTAGAAAATAAGCTAAAGCAAATAGAAGATCAAATTTGTAAAGGAGCAATATTAAGATCGAAATGTCAGTATGCTCTTGAAAGTGATAAGAATTCCTCTGTCTTTCTTCATCTAGAGAAATATAAACAAAATAATAAATGTATTAAAGAATTGTGTGACGATGATGGTAATATTATTAATGATGCTTGTTCTATTTTACACCACTGTTCTTCTTTTTATGGTAAACTGTATAGCAAAGATGTTGACAATATAGATGATATTAATAATTTATGCAATAATATAACAAATACTATTTCTATTAGTGATAAGAACTTATGTGATAAACCTATAACTCTTCAAGAATTAACTGTGACACTGAGTGATATGTCTAAAAATAAGAGCCCTGGTTTAGACTCACTCACACCTGAATTTTATCTGAAGTTTTGGAACATACTGGGACCCTTATTTTTAAATGTTGTGAATCATATATATACCAATAATATTATGTCTCGCTCTATGCGAAAGGGTATTTTATCACTCATTTATAAAGATAAAGGTAATAGGACAGATTTAAAGAATTATAGACCTATCAGTTTATTAAATTGTGATTTCAAATTATTATCTAGATGTTTATCCTTAAGATTAAGAAATGTTGTTTATAGTATTATCTCCCTTGAACAGACGTGTCCAGTCCCAGGAAGAAACATTTTAGACAATATAGCTTCAGTAAGAGATGTCATTAATTATACCGACGATGAGGATATAGAAGGGTTTATTTTAAAATTAGATGCTGAAAAGGCCTTTGATAGAGTTTCTCATATGTATTTATTTAATGATTTAAAGTATTTTGGTTTTGGAGAAAAGTTTATTAAATGGATTAAAATTTTATATACTTATATATCGAGCACCGTTAAATGTAATGGCCATCTATCGCCCTTTTTTAAGTTAACTAGATCTGTTAGACAAGGTTGTCCTTTTATCTGCCCTATTATATGTTTTAACAGCTGAACCATTAAACCTTTTAATTAAACAGTCTCCCTTAAAGGGTATACCTATTGTAAATTCTAATAATGTATCTTTAATTTATCAACATGCAGACGATACCACTTTAACCTTAAGTGATATAGACTCGGTAAACTCTGTTTTTAATGTTTTAGAATTATATTGCAATGCATCAGGGGCGAAAATCAATAAATCAAAATCAGAACTCCTACCTATTGGCAAAAGTGAATATTTAGACTATGAATATAATGTTGATGCAAAAATTGTAGCTAACTCCATTGAAATACTTGGTGTACATTTAGGATGTAATGCGAATCTATGTAATAATTTAAATTGGAATGTGAAATTATCGAAAATTAATCAACTTTTAAGATTATGGAGTAGACGAAAAATTACATTGTTGGGTAAAGTAACCATTATACAGTCACTACTATTGTCAAAACTATGGTACGCATCCAGCGTGGTCCCTTTACCTAAAGATGTTGAACAAGAGGTCACAAAGTCAGTTCTTGCCTTCCTCTGGCGAAGAAGACCACCCCGTATTAAACATACCACTCTTGTTAATATAAAGAATGAAGGGGGGCTAAATTTACCTAATGTCAAATTAAAATGTCAAGCTTTATGTTTAAAATGGTTAAAAAAATTCTGTGATTTCAACTACAAGTATATATGGAAAGATATACTGAATTATTACATATGTAAATATACTGAGTTAACTACTCCTACAGATATATTAAAACTAGATTAAGATAGTAAGCTTTTATCAAATTTACCTGTATTTTACCAATATTTGTTCACTGCCTGGGATGATTTAAATTGTAAAGTTAGACCTGATCCTCCAACTATTGAAGATATATCTATACAGCCAATTTTTAATAATAAATATATCAAGGATAATAATAAAACTTTAGATTTTAAACTGTTTAAAACAGTAGGAATTAAGTGTATTTATGATATTATATATTTTGTACAACCTGGGTTTCTACCCAATCATTCTATAATTGACTATATAGATAATATGGATGTAGATTATGACCGAGATAAGATTATTAATTTGTATGATATTGCAAAATCATCAATTCCTGAAAGATGGAAATCTATTATTGAAACTCAGACTTCTGATCTGAAAAATAAAGATGTTATCACTTTAAATATTAATAATGTGAACATTAATTCAAGTGAACTTACATCCAAATTATGTTATAGTATTTTATTAAAGAATTATGTAAATGAACCTACTTCCTATGAATATTGGGTGAAAACCAATTTTACACTTAATACTAATGTAATATGGGAAAATGTATTTAAGAATTACAAGAATCCTAGAAGTATAGATCTAGACTATAAAATATTACACAACATTATCTGGACAATGGAAAAATTATGTAAAGTTAAGATAAGAGACTCAGATATATGCCCAGTTTGTAAATTAGACATAGAAAACATTATTCATATGTTTGTAGATTGTGATAAACTTGTTAACCTAAAATCACTACTAAGGGAGATAATTCATGATATTTTGAAATTTAGTATTGATGACTGTACTTTTAGATCCTTCTTATTGTTTGGTACTTATCATAACACAAAGAAACTCCCAACCGAATTATGCAGTATTGTTTTATCATCTGCTAGAGAATCTATATATAAGCGTAGAATGATTATGTTAGATAATGAACATGCAATTGTGAATGTTATAACCCTGTTCAAAAATATACTTAGAAATAATTTATATTACATAAGTATATATGTAGATAATAGTAAGTCTAGATTTGTACAAACATTTATTAAACCCTCACTTCTATTTATTTATAAAACAGATGGATCTATAACCTTGGATTTTTGATAAAATCCCCCCCCCCCCCCTCTCGAAACACTCTATCGAGACAACCCCTCCAGGGTTATAGTTATTTTTGGGCATATTTATGTTGCCCGGATGGTCTCGAAAACTTCCACCCTTTTAAAACCTTACAACTGTTTGGTTTTAAATTTTCGCTTATCTCTTCGAGACTTTAGGGGTATAAGCTAACACATGTATAAGTCTAGTTTTGTTTCTTTGTTACAACACCAAAAATCCTCTAAAACATGTATATAACTAACATTTATGGAGATAAATAATATTAAATATCACAACAGAAACTAGTCAGTAAGCTAAGATTTGAAAATTTATTATATGACACTATGCAGTCAATGTCAATGAAAAAAAAAATTACGACAAACTTTAATTTAAACCGTAATCTTATATATAGTTCGATATATGGAGATTTTAAACCTAATTATAATTTTAAGAACAAACTGTTTCAAAGTAATAATGTGAAGAGAAAATTTTATATAACGGATAGAGATAATTAATATTTTTGATGATAACATAAATTATTGACGGTTTCCCCTTGACAGTGGCGCGGGACATGCCTAGTCGTTCGGATGGAAAGAGCGGCTGGGGTCCTGTGTGCACCTTGGCATATACGTTAAAGATTCCTTTGCAGTTGAAACGCATTATAAGAGTAGGCGGACCAGTTCGGAACAGAACAATAGGACGTTAAAGCATATTTCATTTCATTTCCTTTTCCTGAGCTAATGGGAATGGAGCATTGAGAGGTTAAAACCCATTACACTTCTTTCAAATATTAATATAAGAACCTTACTGTTTTACATTTTAAAGATAAATTCTAATCACACAAATTTGGTGACATTAAACTTAAATAGCAATAATGTGAGAAAAATAATAATTATATTATGAAATATATTATATTATGACAGTATGACCAGTCAGTGTCAACGAGAATATGTGCTTCACACTTTAATATAAATCTTAAACATATATGTATACTGTTTTTTTTTTTTGATGACTTAAAGCTAAAATATAATAGTGCCAAAATAGAACTATATTAAGGTAATAATGTGCAGAGAAAATGTTATATACATGTTAAGAATCAAACATTTTCAATTCATAATCTCCTTAGAGTGACAATTGTTGAACATTGTTCACATGAAAATAGGCTTCAAACTTAAATGACAAACCTCTATGTCCCAAAATTTACTATATTTAGTGACTAACAAACAAAACAATCAAGATGTAGGTAAGATAGTGGTGTTAAATTATTTATCTACAGAGAATTCTGCCTTAACAGGTTTACAATAGCCCTTTTCAGTGTTAAATTGTAAGAGCACTGGAAGAACAAGACTTCTATGATGTATAGTGTTAAAATAGAACTGGAAAGTAAAGGCTTGTATAACTGGCACAGTCTATAGTTAAGGTCATTAACTGAGACACAGCGTCGCGCAGACGGCAGAAATCTAGTCTGCTACTTATTGTGTAAAATCTTATCAGCTCGTAAATATAAGCTAAGCTTTGTAATTGTTAAAACACCATAAATCCACTATTAAATATAAATGATTAGAAAACGATAAAGTAACTAATTTTTGATTTTTAACTATGAATTGTAGTATTCGTATTGACTTAGATTACCCTTACTGAATATCAGATTAGCAACAATAGCTTTAACATCATATATGTACATACTATGTAAATTTGTGTAATTATATCTTGATTGAAGTTTCAAATTGAATAGCACAACCTTTTAATACATATATTAATTAACCTAATATAAATATATTTATGAATTAATATATTGATCCATTGATTTATTGATTTATTATTTCATCAATGTGTTAATATGTCAATGGTTCTGTATTTTGATTCTGGAATTTATTTCTTGTCTTTTCCTTTTTCTTGTTTTTAAAAATAAATAAATAAAATCAAATAAACAAAAATAATGCTTTTAATTAACTAAGAATGTTTTGTGCTATTCCATGATTAAAATGTATGTACAGTGTATTATGATTATGTAGTTCATGAATAAACATACTTACAAGAAAAAAAGACAAAAAAAAGACGCTGGCTCGCTACCCTGGAGGTAGGGTGTTCGATCCCTGCATTGGCCGAGAAAGTTCATCCAGATTTTCAGGCGTGGTTCCCCCTTGTCAGTGATGCAGGACGGAGGGCCTGATAAAGGACAGCTGTCTAGTCCTTCGGATGAGACGAAAAACCGAGGTCTCGTGTATACATTGGAATGCACGTAAAAGATCCCTTGGCAGTTGGAATTCGATATAAGAGTAAGCGATATCGATATGGTGTTAATCCTATAAACAATAGCGAGTTAATCAGAATTGTTTAATTAAGAGGATTAACCGCTTTCAAGTATAGAGTATAGATGTAGTAGGTAGCACCCCGGGAAGGTTGTTTATGAGTTGGTGACACGTTTCTATAGTTTTAACTTGGCAACGTGGTATATATAGAGCCAAGAAACTTGTCTACTAGCCATAAACTGATTAAAGCCTTACCAGTTGTTCCTACTTTTAGGTATGTGTTTGTATAAACAAGACACGCATTAAACTCGGCTCAGTCATTTTATATCCGGTGGTATTTAATATTGTTCAAGCTCTGGTGTTTTTAGGCAGAACTTACACGAATAATCTTGATTAATTAGTATTTTGGGACTTGGTTATTCGATATTAAAATCAAATGAGACAATTAAAATATGACATCTTTATGTATTTCTAATAACTATATAATATCTGATTCTGCTAAAAGGATTCTGTCTGTTCGACTTAATGTTCGCTACCACCTAAGGTGATATCACAGACAAGGCCGAAAGCTTCCTGTATTTCATTTAAGCTGCAATTGGGAGCTTACCGGAACATTTTGGATGAAAAACGTGATTCACATTGGGCACCTTTGTTTAAATCTCTAAATTAGCTTACAATCTACCGACGCATCCAATACAACTAAGGAATGCTCACCTTCAAAATTCCAAGAGACAAATTACCATCATATTTATATAACACTACCATGACATTGAGATCCGAAAATTCAACTTAAATTAGCAATCCCCAAATGTAAAAAAAGGCAATGACAAGAAAATTCCAATATACCGCCTCTGTATTCTGGAATTCACTACCTCAAACTGTGGAACATGCGTCTTCATGTTTTATCTTAAAAAAGGAGTTTGTAAGAACATGTTAAATCTGTTAACCCTTGTTAAGTACTGTTGTCCTTTGAATGTATGTTTATGTGCCCCTTTTTTCTTCTGTTTGATATTTCTTTACTATATAACCTTATATAATGTATATATAATATACACTAAAAATATTGTTACGGTGTAGTTGCTTGTTTTATAGAGTAGGAGGGGCATGTTGAAAATTAGAACTCATGTACTAAATATGTTCACTCACAAAAATAAAGTCCTCATTATTATTATTATTATTATTATTATTATTAACATTTCCGCTGTAAACCTGTCCTCTGTAGCTTGATACGAGGTACAATTTGTATGCAACGTATGGACAAAGATGCTCCTCTCATACTTCCGTCTTCATTAGCCCAATTCATTTCATTTCATTTCCTCTCATACTTGTCAAGCAGCTGCGAGTATCCTCGTCGATACGTTTGCATAAAAGTAATAAATGCATTAGTTTGTATTTCCATAAACATTATACCTTGCGTATTAACATGTTCAATTACTAAATGCCTTTGTAGTTTGATTTAAACAAAATTTATTTTTAAAAAATAATAAAATGTTGAGACGATCGTTCGGGGGTTGAAACTAAATACAACTGATCACATGTGTAAACATCATATGAAATACATTAATCATACTGAATAAGGATATACATAATTAAAATAAAGTAATAATGAAAATAATTGTTAACTATTTAGAAATTACTTAAAGATGCATTATGAAGATATATAGCGCAGATCGTTCATTATCTTAGCAACGGTACTTGACAAGCCTCGATTGTCCATTTTATCGTTAAATTTTGAAATCTGTCAGATGTGTACATCCATTTAAATCTCAGCCATCTGATGCTATGGAGAGCTGATTAGAGGCCTGCCATGTTAATTATTAATAATTCATAAAACCAATGTAGCCAAAAGAAAAACCTGCAATAGACAGATTTAGCTCTCATATAAAGCATCTTTAATATTGACCAATAAAATATTTACCCATACATAAATACAAGAATGACTGGTCAGGTTTCTAATAACTTTATAGTAAGTATATACATTCATAACAAATCTATTAGTCAATATACAATCCCGTCTTCATTAATCCAATTACATCATACCAAATAATACATAAATCATTACCAAATAATATTAAATGCAATGGGGTTCAACACGTCTAGCTTTTATGCCCCAGTCGGGCTAATGCCGACGTGCCTACTACGAGGGAAATTATGCCTGGGCTGCATCGCTACGACCTACTCATATTTCGAATTCCAAATGGCAAGGGATCTTTCAGGTGCAGTACCAATTTGTACACGGGACGACTACAACTGTTTCCTTGCCAGGCGATACTGACAATGGGAATCTAAGTTGGAATATCTAACTATGATCGAACCCGGGAAATATTAACAGATAAAAAGTAATCGATGGAACTTGCAAACACGACTGGATATAATGTGCCTTCTACACAAACATTACTGCAAATGGGGTAGCCTTCCCAGGGCGAAAGGTACCCTTCCTGATTCTTGCGTATTATATGTCTAGTAGACTCATTCATTAAACGTTATCAGTGCGTACGGTATATGAGTGAACTGTTTGCATTCCACGTAACTATAATACCACGAGTCTGAATTCCACAACTTATTTAAAGAAGTGACCGGTGTCTTCTTGTATGAAGTAGGGTATGCTTTACCTTTTTAAAATGGAAATTACCATTCTGCATTTAAGGAGTTGACATAGTTGACAATGCTTACAATTTCAGGCATCCATGGATCGATGTTACGGATCAACCATATCAAAGGTTTATTTCAATATCATATTTGGAATCTGTTTAACCAGTTCTATCACAAATGTAAAATCTATAACCCGAGGTCACGAATCAACCATTTCAAAGATCTCTATTTTAATATTGTATATGGTATTCAGTCACATATGTAACATTTGGGCGTGGTCGTCGGTAGTGTGGTAAATACAATAACATCTAGTCATCATTGTGTGAATTCTACCTTGGTAACTTTAACAGATGCTTTTATTCTGAAATTGTTATTCTGGTCCAAAAAACCATTTTGTCCATCTTTAAGCATGTGCCAGTCTATAAACGATGACCACCCCAACCTGCAAATCCTGTTGGTGTGTAAGTATGGTTTTCATTAAACATTACTGTCTTAGCATGAGTTGTATTCAGCAATGTGAGCTTATATTGTGCAGTACAGTTGGTGTTGTGTGTCTTTCTCCAGTACAAATAAAGTCCTAAAGTTGAATTATTGTCCTTGCTTACTTTTTTTACACCTAAATACCATGTCTGTCCGCTTATATGGTAATCAGTACCAGAAACATATTTCCCTTTCTGGAGTTCCAATTCAGCCAAGTTAAAACTACCCGTAAATCTCGATTCCTCTTGAATCTCTACAGTTCCTAGTTGTTTTAATATAATGGTTTTATCAATCACCCCTTTCTCAAAACACGTGTATCTTATATCGGGCATATCCAAATTTCTCAAACAGCTTTTTTCTTTTTCATCTTGAACTCGCGGAATTCTGTTGATTACCTGAACAATAGATTTATCGTTTAAAACATCTGCTGAAGATTTTACACTGGTGTTTAAATCATCAATTGATGTTTTCATTTCTCCAAGAATCTGCAGCAGCTTTCCGGTTTCTTCAGCACGGGATTTCTCAATCTGACCTTTGACCTCTTCACCAAGTTCTTTAATTTCGCAATATATTTGTTTAACTTGTTTATCGACAGTTTTGCAAGATGTTTTAGCTGAGTTATTAATATCTTCTATAACCTTTTCTATAGATTCGCAATATTTTTCAAATTCACTTATTCGATCCCCTAAAACGTCTTTTAAAGTTCTCAATTCTTCTCTAAATTTATCTACATTGTCCCTATCCTGCAAGTCAATGAATTTGTGGGAAATATGGCTAGTCACAAAACAATCAGGGCAAACAGCTATTGCACAATCTTTACAATAACATCTGGCTTCTATCCCTCGGTGATTTGAACAAATGTCCTTAAAATGTGTATCTGAGATTGGATTCACAGTAACATCATCCATATTTACGACTACATGATCTCGACATCCTTTAAAAGAATCATGTGTTTCTTTACAAGAACTACACAAATGTTGTTGACAGTCCTGACACCTAACCTTTGAATTAACACCAGTTTTACATACATCACATGGTGGAATTTCATTTATACAAATTGACATCTCTCCTATTTCTGAAGTAGCAGGGAATTCACCTATACCACCTTCAGGTACCGTCACATCTGCACGGCACAATGGACATGGAAACCGATTGCATGTCGAGACCCTGTTGATATAATCTTCTAGGCATATCAAACAGAAGGAATGTTGACAGTCGATTAGTTTCGGTTGTTTAAAATCGTTTAAACAAATACTACATACTATTTTGTCTATTCTTTCGGCCATTTTGATAGGATATTCTTCGCTGTTACCCACAATACGATTTTATACAATATAATTCACTATTCTTCCCCTACCTAGCACGATGTTCGGTGGATTACATACATGTATCTAGTTCAACCTTATTCCTCAAGTACAGTTTATTGCCACATGTAATCCAATTGTCCAAGTAGTTTACCGATGTTCACAAAGCCGAATACCATTCACTATACAATACGCACTTGAACAACTGTGTATATACTTACTTACACCTTGCCCTTTATGCCTTAAAGTTTAAAACATTATCATATAGTAAACGACCATCTAGATTAGATTATTGCCATATATTGAACGATCGTCTGGATTAGCGTATATAAACACAGTTTCTAAACTACTCGGCTCAGTGTTTGCCACAACATAATATAGTTGCGCTGTGGTGAACAGTATATCGTTTAAATCTGATATAGACAAAGCTTTGCATAATCCACTACATAACCATTTTCATTACATAAAGGGATCAGGCGGTTGCAACTTCTGACACTGTATAGGCAAATGGCCACACGAGAACAAACTTTGAGAGATTTGTTTCGGGCACTGCTCTAACGCTGACTCGACCCGTTAATACCCCTACCTTGCACTATTAAAATGATCTATTAGGGGTCAATGGTGATTTGTAGCGTATAATTATCTCACAACTTTAACAGGCCAGTATTATCTCAGTTTAAGCCAAAAGAATTGAAATAGTGAATGGTGTTTTCTCATCTTTATTGTAGAAAAAATCTTTTTACCCCCTAACCCCCATTTTGTGACAGGGATTAGTTTACATACGATATATAATTTCTTTATATTTTTTTGTGTGGGTGGGGGATATGCTCCGATGCGTGCGCTTTAGATCATAAGGCCGGTCATTGAGTCGCGTGATGTGGTTTCGACCCCAAATTTGTACATGTCAATTAGTAAGGTTGCGGGTCGCCTGTCAAACCTCGTAGATATTCTCCGGGTCCTCTAGTATCTCCCTAGTGCTAAAAGATCCCTACGCTCAAGCGAATGTTTGAAATAAAATTGAAACATGTTAGTTCTGATATGACCTAATTTGGGTTGATTTTACCATGCACCTTATTCTCTGAAAGTGGCAATATCCCTTTAAAATGTCTGCGATTCGTGTGCACTTGACTTAATTGATCAATTTAAAGTGGGTGTGATGTGAATTTAGAAACAGGTTGAGTTGTAGGAGTTATATTGAGAGCTAATTTATCATCTTGTTAAGATGAATGACAGAGTTAAAGACAGGAACTACCATGTTGATTTTATCCGCTGAATCTATTTCTGAACTCATCATTTGTCTTTGTTAATGCACAATTTCTGTAAGCTCTTAAATCATCGCCGTGTATCTCTTACATCATAGATGACAGTGGCGTAGGCAAAATTGCCAAAAGAGAGAGGGACAGCAAATTTTTAAATTTCTTAAAAGTTATTATAGAAAAGGAATATAAATCTACTCTGCAAACTATGGAACGGTTGATAATTAAATGGATTTAAATGGATTTGATCACCCGCGCTATTTAAAAATTTAACGATAAAATGGACAATCGAGGCTTTGTCAAGTATTGTTGCTACAATAAAAAGATTTGCGCTACATCTTGAGACAGTTATAACGTCGACCAAAATAATTTGAATGAAATGTTTGAGCTATTATAGCAAGAACGTCGAGCTGGTTCGTTATCTAAATTATAATGCTCCTTTAAGAGAGTTTTTAATGATCATCCTGATATTCAGGGGCAGATTGGGGCCTGGAAGCGGCCCGGGCTCCCCTGTCGGGGCGGCCCCTTTTACTGAACGCGGAGCCCGGACCCGCCTGGATAATTTTGAAAAATAAACCCCAAATATGCGATTTGGTGGCATATCTGATTATAATCTCTGTCAAATAATATATCTCATAAATCGATTAATTTAGGCCAAAATCCCGACCTGCAACTAATTTACAACCACCAACCTGTGAAATTATCATATCGTCAGATTATGCAGGATTCCGAATTCCGGCCCACACCCAGCACACCCGGCCCAGAAAGTCTATTATACCAGCCCATTCCAGACTCCAGTGATGGAGTGGCGGCCCGTTAAAGACACCGGCCACATACAACATGATCATCATCGCTCCATGGCCGGTCCAATACCCCCCCCCCCACCCCATATAATGTTCAGCAGAAAAAGTTTTTTTTTAGACAAATTGGACAAAATAGGTTTTTTTTCATTGTTTTCGGACCGGCCCTTCGCCCGATCGCCCGATGGCCCAATCCGCCCCTGCTGATATTACAAGATGTGTAATAATAATCAGAGCCGGGTAAAGTGTACGTTATATCTCATGTACCAAAACGTATTTGAACAAAATAAAATCCATTATCCTTTAGTGGGGATTAAGCGTGAGCAAACATAAAAAAAAACTACCACAGTTATATTGGGCGTTTATTATACACAAGCACGCCGTTTCGATAAGTATCCTTACCGTTATCAAACAGTGTTTTTGTTTGTCTATATATAATTGCCCCACACATTTGTTACTCTGCTTGAAAACGTGGAGAGAATACTCTTCGAAAGGTTGCACAAATAAATCAAAGGAGGAAAGTCTCTAACTCAATATGTCGACATTGCAAATTCGATTTATTTTCTAATTTAAATCAACATCGATTTTGTTATCTTACTGTGAAAAGATGGGCTTCTTTATCATTACATTATTATATGCGACCCATTAGTGTCCATTTCTATTTGCCAAAGAATACAGATTTTTAACCCCTTACTGCTAGCTCCCGGATCCATTCATTTTTTTTTTAATTGTTTGTCTGTTTGTGTTTTTCTGAGTATGATGTTTTGTCCGTGTATTTGGTTTTGTGTAAATTTTGTGTGGTGTAGTCAGCCTGCACTTACTATTTAAGTAATTGTTCCTCCATTTGCAAGTAGCTAGTATATTACTACAATAAATTTTGCCCTGACAGCAAGTGCTACGGCCCACACTTATTTCGAATGCCAGTTGCCAACGTTATTTACGTTGGTTCTTTTCATCTTCAAGTTGAATTCCGTGACTTGAACCAATTCCTGACCTGAAACTTGTTATCTCTTTTATGAATAACTTATTTTCTTTCCAGTCAGTTGGGAGTTACAGTAGGCCTAGCCGAGTTGCATATTGTAAAGCTAGGTATTGTTAGCCCAGGCATTTAACTCTATTCTGCATCATTCCGAGCATTTGCTGCAATAGAAATACCGACCACCCTCCTTCGATCGGCGTAATAACCAATTTAGATCGGAGTATAAAAACCTTTAACAGCTACTAGATTTAAGGGGGGATAACTCCATTTGATCTGTCGAAAAAAAACTTCAGCAATATTTTCTATAGAATTGTTTATTTTGTTAAGACAAATATTAACAATCCAAGATTGCCGACCACATTTTCATCATAAACGATGGAACCATTATCTATGCCGGCCCAGTTTGACAAAATTGGGAAAACGATATAGCAGACAGCTCCAGGGCACAGGAAGATATAAGAAAATATATAGATTGTGGATTATTACTTGTATTAGGAACTGTCTCAGAGCGGACAATGTCCACTAAGGTTGAGCTAGCCGTCATGGTAACTGCTAGTAATTATATATACATTGTAAGTAGGCTTTTTAGTTGAAATGTTGGGTGCAAAATTCCTTTAGGTCAGGATATTCCAGCATGGTCTTCCATTAATGTGGAAACAAGTCACAGGACCTTGAGTCTGAGTTGAGAGTCGAGACCCAAGTTGCAGTAGCCTACCTCAAGCTCAAGTCTTGAGTCGTGCCCAAAGTGGCTGTACATCGGTCCAGTCAAGGTCCCAAGTCAGCACATCTCGAGACGGTGTCGGGTCCTAAGTGTCTGATCCCCCGGTCTCAAGTTGGGTCCCAAGTTGGTGCAGCTTAATATGTTCGCATAGGTTGCACAAACCCCAAGTCCAGTGCAAGTCGCTAGTTCATCAAATGTCCACTCCCAGTGACTCGAATCTTCGATTTTTCAAGTCCAGAATTATCACGACTGTTGGGTCCGAGTCTCTTGTCTTGTCTTTGATGCGACTTAACTTAAGTCAGACTTAATGAGCCCGAGTCACAAAACTCAAGTTCTCACCTCTGGGAATAATGTCTAGTCAATCGGATAAAACAAAAAAAACATAGTTCTGTTTACATGTTGGCATGTAGGCCTACTGAAAACAACCCTGAGAGTTGGAATTCGAAATAAGAGTAGGGCTGTTGGGACAAAATTTCACTGCCTTTGTTAGTCTGGAAAAGAGAAGTGGCACGTTAAAGCCCATCTTCATTTCTGTGCGAAGGCCCGGTCGCCAGGATGATGACGTGATCACAGCAATGACTTTTTAATAATTTTTCACTCAGCAAGACCTAGGCCTGTCCTCTGAAGTAGATAGACCTACAACGGCTACAAGTAATGCCTTTTAGATCTCATTTCATAAAAGGCGACAAAGCATTCTCAGGCTTTAGTTTAGAATTTACACAACTTTCAATCACTGTTTATGAGAAATATCTTTGATCCAGAAACACAAAAATTTGCATGTAGTTTCTTATTGATGTATTTGATACATAAAAACAACAAAAGTTTTTTTAAGGTGAACAATTTTGAATAAATTATTAACTTAAGTCTGAGAATGCTTTGTGAACATGGGGCTGGGTTCATATTAAATATAGGCCTATTGTACATTGGCATTTTTACCTCTCAAATGATTTAGTCATTACTGCACATGGTATGTATGGAATTTAGAACATGTTTTATTTACCTTATATTCTGAACTCAATCGAGAACAATCAACAATAGAATTATGTTTTCTCATAACAATAGATCTATTATTGTTATCAATAAATCTTTTTTTTTTATATTTTATTCAGAAATTCATGAAATATCAGAATAAATTAACATGATTGTATGAATGAATAATGTTGTTTTTTGTCAATAGGATTGTGTGA